AATTAGAATCTTTAGTACAAAATTTGGTTTGCAGTTTTGTAACTCATTAAAATTGAGTATGCTTCTGTTTCAATAAAATTGGTCGAATATACTTACTTTGTATGAAAAAATACGTAACAACGTCTACAAAAAAAAAATGCCAAAAATTAATGGTAAGCCTTGGCAACTTAAAATTGCACTTTGTTATGTTAAAATTTGACGATTTTTTTTACAAATTTTGCGGGGTAAAAATCTCGAGGAAACTATTCTACAAATTTGTGATGCTACTAAAACGATACTGTTTCATGGCTTATACATCTAGGATCATTAAAGAAGGCTTTAAGATCTGTAAGCTGTTGTGAAAAAAAATTTGCAAAATAATTTTTTGTCCCGTATTCGGCTCTCATAAAGATGGTCACCCTATGCATACGGCACAATATCATGCGGCATCGCATGGCGTATGAGTGACGTTTTATTTAGTGCTTGTGTAAATAAATGCGGTCGTCTAGCAAATTTGTGACGCTTTGAATTTTCGTGGCAGTTCATTTTGCAAACTGATGGATTTAGTTAGTTGTTTTGGCATATTTCAAGTTTTATCCAGCATACTGCTTTTTTGTGTGATAAAAATGCACGTTTTTCAATTTTTTTTTTATTTATAAGTATTTTAAAAGAAATTATGTTGTGCGTGGTTACGCTAATAACCATAATTTAACACTAACTAAAGTAGAACAAGAACAGCTTCCCTTTGATGCTCCTCGCCCATGTAAGCCGGCCCCAGGAGAAGCTTCCGATTTAGAGATGGGGGACTGCGAAAACGCTTTGAGTTACCACTTGGATAAGCGTTGCCTTGTTTGGGCGAGTTCCTGCGTTTGCCTACCGATATTAGGGTCTACTAAGATATTAGAGTTTTTAACAGTACATTTAGCATGTGTCTACTGTCTTTGGTCTATTCACCTTTCCCCTTCCGGATAAGAGAGGAAATTGTTGGATGCTTAGCTTGTATCTTTAAAAGTTAAAGTTTTATAAATATGTGCATACAGCTACACAATTTCTGCCTTCTTTTGGCTTTCCTATCAATAGTACTGACATAACCTCTTCTGCATATTACAAGAAAAAATCTATGTCTTTCAAATTGTTAATTTATAAAAATTTATACTTTTATTTTTTTTTTTACTTTATCTTTCTATGTCCTCTAATTTGGTGCATAAATTACCCGATCCGTAGGGATAGCAATAATAATAGCAAAAGCATAAGTGATTTTCCGACTAATATATATGCATATACATATGCATATTTATAAGAGTAAGTGTGCACAACCGAATGCCATTTATGTACATTCACTATCCGCCACATGTACAGAGAGCATGTGCATATTTTTCCCAACGCCTGCATGCTGGGCTGGTTGTTTGTTGTTGGCCAAGTGCACACAGCGTTTCGGCTGCATTATTGAGTTAGCAAAATCTTCAAAAAAAAAAAAGAAAAAAGTTGACTCTCAAAACTCTCAGCTGACTTTTTAACTCAACTTAATAAAAATTTCGCAGTCATATCTCAGATTACATCCATGTATATACATAAGTACATACATGTGTGTTTGTATGAGTCATAGGTATGTAGATGCCAAAAGCATATGTGCAGTTGATATGGTCGCGTTTGGCGAGTCTCGCGAGTACCGCGTACGTGTAAATGCCTACGTGCTGGTTATTCAGATGGCGTGCTTACCACATCACACCCACCAAAAATGGTAAACCTCCATTGAATACGTAATTCGTTGTCGGGAAGTCAAGTAATTTTACTTCCTTTGCATTTTTTTTTTTTTTGGATTTTTGACTTTATTGCATCGCGAATGTGCTGATATGCTTTTTGAGATAATAAAAATGCTTTCAGTCACTTAGAGAAATTTTGGGTCTTCATAGAATTTGCTTAATTATTTTATGCACTCCCGTGGCATGTTGAGTTCTAGAACTGTAGTTACTGCATCTAACATCTGACTACGGATTGATGGCAAATAAGTCTTTTTTTTATTACTTGCCAAAGAGTGTAAGTGAAGTTTACGGTATATAAACAAAAAAAAAATATATATATAAAAACCAAGTGAAAAAGTTACACCGATTGGTCCTTATATTTCGCCTTTTGGAATATAATTTCATCATGAGCAAAGCTCCCAGACGACACGCAAAGTGGTAGATGGCCGTGACTGAGATTGAGAGTTCACTCAAAAGAACAGCAAGGGCAGCACTCCTTCGCAGCTTCAAAGCGATTGAGAAGATGCCTTTCTGAGAGCCCTGCACACTGAAAGCGCTAGAACATCTAATGAATGTCCGCTTTAGTGGATGCGACAATAAAGAGGAGACAGATTTATTCAAACAGCATTAGAATGTCTTCCTGTAAAATTCCAATATTTAGTAGCTGACCCTTGCAGAAGGAGATTTCAGGTTCGAGTTTCTTTTTTGGTTCGCAAAAAGCTATAAGTAGTTCCTTATACATAGATCCGGATTCAACCGATAATTCGCAATACTGCCGTCTATCGTGGAATAATTTCGATCGGGTAAACTGTGCAGTTAATCCGGATTAACGTTGCCGTCTGTTCGTGCTATACGAATATAGGTTACTAAACCGGGCTAAATATTCTTACAACAAAAAATTATACGGATTTCGCTGTTTCGTAATGCGCTGAAAATATATCTTAATTCAGCAGAGAGCGGAACTGCGCTATTTTGGTTTATTGATACATTTTCAGAAGTATGCAAAACGTTTTAGAGCTCGATGGATTACACTTTCGATAACATATTCTTTTGACTTCATTTTATGAAAACTTAAAAAAAGAGAGATTTTATTTCTAAAAAGGTGGCAACCCTCTGCACAATAAAGCTTCTCAACGCCCTTTCTTTGGTATCTCAAACTGCAAAATTTCATTGAACTTATAATTTCAAAAATAGTTAATTGTTTTTAAACAGGTGAAAATCTCCTAAAAAAATGTTCTACATGTTAATCCAGGTCGTAAGGTATTTCTAAGCTGAGTTTAGCCACAATCTCTCACAAACTTTCAAATTTATAATATTAAGGGCCGTTTTCTCATCTAACCTTTAGTTTACCGGCCACTTTATCGTCCCGATATACGAGTTTTCGTTTTCTCATCAGCGCATTAATTTCTCGAATCGATAAACTGTTGCTCACCCGATGCAACCTTTAAAATTTGTACCCAACTTTAAATTTTGGTTTGGTTTGGGTTCATGAGTCAGATATATTAGATATTTCAACCAAGGTTTTGGTTTTTGCTAACAGTTGCTCTTGCTCTATATTTGCTTATGTTGCATTGCCAACCTTTGAAATTATATGACGAATGTAGTGAAGTTTCACTCTCGGAACTGTAGTGAAGTTTCACTCTACGAAATAACAAATTTATTTTTACCGGTAAGATAAGAAAATTAAAACAATTTAAAGTGAGGAACAATTTATCTGCCCTGTTAGTAAAGGCAACTTTACTGCTTACATTAGAAAATGGCCCTAAGTAGTAGGATTTCATTTAGCTTGTCAGTTGCTTAACTGATTTTAAATCCCTAAACCGGTGGCAATGCTCGCCAAAAACATTTTCGAGATTGATACGGCCTCCTTAAATTCCCTCTCGTTATATTCTATTTAAATTGATTTTAACTTTTTGAGCAAAAGCAGCCATCTCAATTTTTTATTTTTTTTTTCAAAACAAAACTTTCTTCTCGCTTGACACCCGTATCAAAATTTTTCATTTCAGGTTTTAATTAAATTGATTTGAATTTCAGGTGGCAACTCACTTATAAAATATTTTCGCTGACACCCGTTTCAAAATATTTCGTCTCAGTTGTTAGTTAAATTGATTTTAAATTTCTAGACAGGTGGCAACTCACTTATAAAATAATTTCGCTTGACAAACGTATCAAGGTATTTAATTTCAGTTGTTATTTGAATTCGAATTTGAATTTCTAAACAGGTAAACAAAATACATTTTCTTAAACTACCTTTTTTTGAAGTTCAAATAAAATATTTTATTTAACTTCTTATTTAAATTTATTTGAACTTTTTGAGCAGATGGCAACTTCCTAAAAAATAATTTCAAAAGGTATTGTAAAAAAGAATCTCTTCGTTGGTTACCCAAATTAAAATATTTCATTTCACTCGTTAACTAAATTATTTTTAATTTCTGAACAGGTGATAGTCCCCTTTAAAAATATATTTGAAATAAAGCTTGCTTAATTCTCTATCGTTTTATACCCACACTGAAATTTTTAATTTAAATTGATATTAACTTTTTGGACAGCTGGCAATCTTCTAAAACAATATGTTTGTAATAAATTGTTTTTGACACCATTTAAAAATATTTTTGAAATAAAGCTTGCCGAAAACTCTTTCGTTTTATACCCACATTAAAATCTTTCATGCAACTTGTTATTTAAACTGATTTTAGCTGACTGAACAGGTGGCAACCCTTTAAAATAATGTGTTTGAAATAAATTTATTTTTGAGTCTATTTTGTTTTTTACTAAAAACTGGCATAGCCCTTAAAAATATTTTCGAAATAAATATTTTTGGAACACATTTCTTTTGACACCACATTTTTGTAATATTTTATTAACTTTCTAATTGATTTTAACTTTAGAAAAACTCTTCAAAAATTTGTTAATCCGGGTTATAACCAATCTGGGTGCCAAATTTCAAATGAAACATATGTATGTATCCAGACGCTCTAGCTTCAAGGAGCAGCAAACATACCTACACACTCGCTCACTCACAAAACTTTCACATTTACACACATCCATATAATAGTAGTAGGATTGCCCAAAAGTGGTTCAAGTTCTTGAATTATTTTGCAACACTGTGATTTTCTTTGCTAAGTATTAGAAAGTTTATAATAAACACTTTTCGCTGCCTTTTCCGTGTAGAGACCAATTCATTTTCCACGAAAGAGCAGCCATTAATTTTCTCCATCAGCACTCACTTGTTTAAAAGGAAGCACTTAAATACATATTTACATATGTATGTATGCGTAGTTATGCAAGTACATTGGCTAAGTTGAACTTACCTTCGGTGTGGCCACCGCATGCGCTCCATCATACACGTACAGATGATCATTGCAGTCCAGTTGCAACATATCGAAGCGCAACATGAAACGTTGCAATATCGAATGCGTTTGAAATGTGATGATGCAGTCTAGATTGCGTTCATTTTGCGACCAAAGTACAGCGCCATCGATTTTACGATATAGCTGCTGTAGGAAGTGATTCTTGCACAGAGCTTGCATGTAATCTGGAAAATAAGAGTAAGAAAGCGTGGTAGAATAAGTATAACAGTTGGAATAATATTTAAGAAGGCGATGCTGTGTGAAAGTTTAACTTGCGCTACGTACATACATATATTTATGTAAAGAGCGAGTAAAATGCGCGTAAATCGTTAGCAAAGATGCTAATACTAAACTGAAGTGAGTGGTTCTTACTCCGACGCGTGTATGTGTGCGTGTGTTTGTGTGTTTGTGTATGAGTGGTGGTGGTGGTGTTAGTAAACCGCAACGCTAACTGGCAGCCAACTCCAGCGTACAGCGCTTACCAAAAACGAATAGTCAAAAATCACTGCTTAATGCTTGCAAATGGCCAAAAAGTGGTTGGTTGCATTTCGCAGTGCAGTTGATTTCATGGTCTTAGCGCTCTGTGGCTGTGGACATAGTCGAGTGCATTAGAAATTTAATGGCAAATAAAAAATTCATTTGCGCTGCGTTAGCGTGAAACCAACACGCGAACGAATACATAAAAAAGTTAGCTTACACATGCATTCGTGTATTTGAGAATAAAAAGAAGTAGAATTTCGGAAGTGATTTTCTTCAAGAAATTTTGCAGCAGCAGGCAACTTCTTGTCGTTCTTCATGTAGCTGATATTAAATTCAGAGAGTTGTATGTGTGTATAGTCCAAAGCCAAAAAAAAGCACTGCGAACTTAGGCTGATATAGTGGGACCGTTGGAATATATTCAGCAGATTCGAGTTAGTTGCCACTGCGGATATCTGAAAGCACGTTCCAAGAACTACTAAATCAACCTGACTTTCTGAGAAAATCGTAGTAATCTCCCAATTGAGCTCGGTTTCCGCCAGTTATTTTTTCTTTGTGCTGAAAATTCCGGTTCTCTGAATAGCCTCAGTCAGCTAAATAATATCAGCAGTTTTAATTGAAAATTGGGAGTTCTGATTTTTTAGTGCAAGGCAGTGAATAAGAAAGTACTCAACACTTTCCACCTTCACTTCCTCCTAGTCCTTAGTCTAGATTACAATCATTTACCTTTAATTTCAATTAAGTAATAGTCGTTAATAAAATATACTGATATTCCAATTCAACGCTATTCTTATTCTGCCATCAAATTATAACTTAAGAAAGTTTACTACATGGCAGTTGAGAAGTATGTAGATGTGCAAAAATTTCATAAATTTAATGAAGAAAATTCTTGCACATGCAGCAGTACATAGCATGCATTTAGGGTCCTGGTGTTAGCAGTCGCGCCTAAACAAATAATGTACGCCGCTTCTGTAAAAATAATCTGCTGTAAGACTTCATAGAACTGGATTTCTAGAATGGAAGAACGAGCAAGTATATCAGTATATATAATTTCTCGAGTGACTTTTCACCGATTCTATATGACCTCAAGTATAACAGCAAGGCCCTAGGAAATCTTTTTGCCATCGAGAAACCAGCTTCAGTACATCATCTCTAATACGGTTGGAGTAGACTTTTTCTCTGAATCCCTTTGAGAAAGAAGATTAATCTATCCGCTCAGCCAGGTAAAGTTTTTCTCTGAATCCCTTTGAGTAAGACGATTAATCTATCCGCCTAGCCAGGTAGAACTATTTGAATCACGAGGGTCGCTATTCTCTTGAACAACAGGGCGGCTATTACGACAGAGCTCGTTTGAACAGAGTTCACTAGAATTTCTAAGTAAATTTAGTTTAGTCCCGTTTGGGTAACAAAGCGGATGATTGGTGGTGTTGGTGTCAGATTGCGATATAGTCGTGTGCATTAGGGTGATCCTTAAAAAATCGATATCTAATTTTTAATTGGGGTACCCATTTATTTTATTCTACGTGCAAAATAAAGACATGCGAAAATCAAAAAAAAAAGTAAAAAAAATAGAATCGCAACCAGGGCTTTTTCTTTGTTTTTAAATCGGAAAAATTCGAAAAAATTTCACATATTATTGAAACTTATTAGTACAAGCTCATAAACCCGCTGAGTCAAGGTCAAGATTTAGTCGATGTTCATATTTTTTAAGGACCACCCTAGTGTACATACATCACATGAAGAATACATGACCTGTTGAAAATTCCAAATCTGAGGAATACCATACTATGACCATTTCGGTACACAACTGTCTGATAGAAGTCTCCACAACATACTCAATTCTACCAACAATGCTGGGTGGGCGCCAAGCTTTTCCCTATTTATTCCACCCTAACCTAACCAGTAGTCAGATGTATTCTTTTATGGACAAGTGTGTTTAAATAACTGTCGTTGTATGTGCGTACTATGTATGTATTTATGCACTTTTCGCACTAACTACCTTCCTTATAACCAGCATAATTATTAATTCTTCTTTACTTCCAAAAAAGCGTAGTTAAAACTGTTTGCCTGTGCTTGGCAAGCAATCACACAAGCGGTTGTTTTGCGTGAGCGGAAGTGCAGCAGACAGGTAAATGAGTTGAACGTTGCCTAAAAGTGAGTAAGAAGCGAACCGTACTGCAAATGGCGTTTGTTCATTTCTAAATTTTGTGAAAATTCAGCTCTTGTCGCAACATTTCGAATGCAATGAACAAATTTTCAGAACATTTTGCTGCAAATGCTTGCTTAATGATTGCCATCCTGCCGTAAATGAGAGAGATGAGTGGAGAGTGTGTGGAATAGAGTTGAAAGTATGTAGGTGAGTTGTTATGCGCACCAGATGATTTAAAAATTTTCCATGGGTAGTAAAAGTAGAAATTTCGACTTTCCATTGCACATTTCACTGCAATGGTTAATTTTGATGTTGATAAGAGCGGAAAATTTCCAGAAAATTTCTGAAGGAAGCATATCCTTTGATTCACCTTTTTGGTTATTGCGGTTGTTGCCGAGAGGGTGGGTGTATGAGTATTTTGCAACGAATTTCCGGTATTCCTTGTCAAATTTTATTTGGAGACAAACTGGTTTCGACTCTGCGCCATATTTAGTGTAAAATGACACTGAAGATAGCACAACGCCGAAACCGGTTTGCATCCAAACCAAATTTGTTAAAGATGTCGGAAATACGTTTTAAAATATATCATATTCTTTTTGGATAAGTAGAAAATCACCGGCTTTCAAGAGATCGACTTCTTGTAACTCTAAGTTTATGATGCTGTCGACTGGTTGTTCCAGAAAGGCGATAACCAAACATCGAAAAAGGTCTACATAACGTGGATTTTCCCGATCTGAAAAAGATTCTATCGCTAAAACAACAGTCCTTTCCCGGAAAAAACTCTATCATCGAAAATCGACTGTCTTGGAGATTAGATTACACCATTTATACCATAAATGAACTACATATGTGCACCTGGTTTTTTTCGATTGTAAAATTCCGGTTTACTCGGTATTCTAAAAACCAAAATTAAAAAAAAACCGCCTAAAAATATTCGAAAAACAACCGGTTGAAGCCGGTTTGGAAAAAGCGAGTCAATCACCCTAGTCAAAAATCGGTACTTAAGAATATTGTGATAACCGCCGAAGAGCCTAGGATAAACGAATGGCCTGAGGCTTACACCAAACATAAGCTGGGTTTTTAAGTCTTATTGCTACAATAAAGGCTACTTCTAGAGCAATTAGATCAAATGAACCTCGCATTTAGAGCCCCTGTGTGGGTGAAGAAAAGGACCTTGCTTATTTGTACACAAACATGCGATTCTTTGTATCTATCCTCTTCAGACTTCCGAGCGCTGAAAAATCATCTGTAGAGACCACGGAGATATATATTTGGATTAACAAACTCGATTAGCTAAGATGGGTCTCCAGTAGAACTTCTACTGCCACAGCTGCAATCTCGGAGATATGAAGCAAACGATTCTCCATCACCCCTGCGAATGTTTAGCTCTGGGCATAGTACTCAGATACTAATTATACTACTATGAAGACGAAAGTTATTTATACTTTTGACGTCGTTGAGGACTTCGTATACCTGAAAACCAGCATTAATACCAATAGCAATGCCCACCTTAAATTCTGTATAGAAATCGATCTTACCAATAAGTTCTATTTTGGAATGAGTAGGCAATTGAGAAGAAAAGTCTGCCCTTGGTGTTCAACGGTGATGGAAAGATGAGCTGTGGGGACTTTAAAACAGGGAAGACCGTCTCTGCGTTGAAAAGATCAGGTGGAGAGATTTAATTTCAATTGAAGTTTCTACATAATTGGCGTGAGTGAGCAAAAGAAATGACTGACGTGCTTAATTGAGTTCACCAAATAAGAAAAATAAAAGGGAAGACGTACATCCATACACAATTAAAATATTTCTAGCTTTGAGACATCGATATTTGAACTACCTCATGAGTTGTTTTCCATATGAAGAAAAGTCGGAAAAACAGGGTGAATACTAAAAGAGTTGAAAGCAGAAGAATAATACAATTTTTAGAAGTATCTGGAACAGAAAAATCACGAAAAATTTCATAGCCTGTTTTTCTGATTTTCATTTACTTACGATATTTCTTTTCCGATTTATATAACCAAAGCTTAGTTTGTGAAAAATGAGTGAGCAAAGTTTATGAAAAAATGCAAACTTTGTTTTGAGTGACAATGACTTTCTTCGCTGTCTTTCGAACATTCTGTTTTATGAAGCATTGATTGCCGGCTGTCAGCTTTATTAATGGCCTTTTATACATCTCCAATTCCTTGACTTCACCCATCAACTTTTTGCACACATCAAAAGAGAGAAAAGATCGAATTTTTCGAATTCTTTTCAAGCAAATAATATGCGTTAAAATAACGTCGGCTAATTTTGCACAGCTTCCCGAATTTAAGCGCATCATTTAACTTTTGTCACTTCCCAAATACCAAAAGTGAAATTAATAATCGAAAAACCTGCAAAAAGTGAAAAAGAAATCTTGAGCGAAAAGTCAAACAAAGAAGATGAATTGATTGAGTGCTCGAGGACACAAAGCAGAAGTGTTTGCAGTAAATGATTTGAGAGGGCGAGAGCAGACGAGGAGAAGAGATGGAGCATTAGTGAGTGTGAGTCACAGCGCAAGAAATTCGAAGTGCTCTGCCA